TTCCCAAAATTACTTCAACGGAAGGTTTCCAGATGGATATGTGGAGCAAATCCATCTGGTGGAGTCAGGTTAGTGGGCTGTAGGCTGCTGGCTTTTAACTGGGAAGGGTGATTTTGAATGGCTACTACTGTACAACTTACTTGTTACACTTGAAAAAACTGAAACCTAGATAAGTAATTTTTTTTTAAAGAAGTCCATTTGTTCTTGAATTAAGAAGATAAAAGAGACATTTTCCCAATGGAACAAGACAATTTAAATTTAACATAAGAAAACACAATTGCAGGTTAGGGTTATTTCAAGGGCATAATATCTAAAAATCTTATTTTAAGAGAAAAAAAATCTCATTTCATTGGCAAACTATCTCATTTACCTCCTCAAATTAAGGGTAAATACACTTAATTTAAGACATTTTTACTTATTTCCAGGTTGTTTTTCCAGTGTAAAACCAAGTTAATTTGCTACCTACTGTAATGATTTGCATGGATTTGATTTATTACCCATCATTTATTGCCCAGATGGGTGGAAATATAAGCTGATGCAGTTTCATCAGAAATCTCAGCATGACGATCAGAACAAAGCAAGGATGGAAACTAAAACGCGCTTTGATATCGTAACTGTTACTTATAAAAAGAAGATTACAGTTCTAGGCTTTGCTGCTCCAGTTATTCAGAGATGTAACTATTTTAATTATACTTAAGTTATTATCATCATCATCATATTGATGAACTGTGGATTGTGTCCTGAGGTGTTCGGGTTATTTTATTCTTTGATTCTTATATTTAGGACAACAAAAGAAAATCGCTGGAACAGAGTAATTCATCCAGCCATATTCCTCCTTATTTTGGAACAGATATTTTTTGTCCTCCACGAATTCAGATTTTCTTCATTTTAAGCTTCAGCGACCAAAATCTAAACAGAAAGATGGAGAGAATCTGTTCCCGCCTCCACTATTCATCTATCAAAAGTTTGCATTTAGAAGAAATAATTTAGTTGCTTTCAGGCAGTGATGTTGAGATTTTACTTTTCTGGCAGTTAAACGCCTGCAGCACTCATAGAGGCCCCCATACCACCGTAAACAAACACATTCTTCGGAACTCCTGCTCAAAGTTATCTCAACAGTCTTCTCACGTCCCTCATCCATAAACCCTCTTAGCTCTGACAGGCCCCAGCATCTAGAGTTGCTCTGCACCCAATAAACCTTTGAGTGAAACATCTGGTTCCAGCTGTTGCTGTAGAGGAACCATGAAAACAGAAGATGCTGGACAAATGCAGGATGATGTTTCCATGGTTTTCAATTTGGAGACATACGGCTGTCACCGAGGTGGTCAAAAGCTGGCCTGAATTCAGGGTTCCTGAGAATTTGGGGCAGAGGAGGAGAAGGAGGAGGAGGAGGTCAAGGATGAGGAGGAGGTCAAGGATGAAGAGGAGGAGGAGCTGGACGGCCGGACAGCAGTCTCTTCATCTGCCTCCACCTCCTGAACATCTCCAGCAGAAGCAGCCGTGCAGCTCTGTGACTGAGGGACTCC